ATTCAAAAGAGACAAAAGACCAGAAGATCACCTCACCAGCAATCATCAACCAGATAAGCAAAGGTTACCACCAGTCACACAATCAAGCAGTAAACATATACTAATCAAGGAACTACAAGAGAAGCAAAACAAAACCCCCACCAGCACTGGCAAGGCATGCCACGGTATATAAATAGAGAGCAAATGCCATCCCATTTTAGCACTGAATATGTTACCTAGCCTGGTAATGAAATGTTTGGAAGAAAAGAACCAAGCTCAGAGAATCCCAAGGACTCCACAAAAAAACCCTATATTTTAGTTTAAAATCTTTTCATGGAAATTACTCAAATTTCACATCATCATCTGCATAATTATAATTGTTTTATCTTAAGAAAATAAGTGTGTAAAATGTGAAGTGAGATTTCTATCTCACTTTTTTTTCTTTCCCTTTAACATAGATAAAAAGGTAGATACATGGTTCACTGTTTTCTCAAAAAGAAATGACTGCAGAAGTTTGGAAAGAGCAGCTTTAAGGTCTTTGTTTCTCATGCTGTAGATTAATGGATTCAGCATGGCTGGAATTATGGAATAGAGTATTGTAATTATAAAATCAAGATGTGATAGTTTGTCAGATATGGGCCTCAGATAGGCAAAGCAACCAGTAAACAAAAATACAGAGAAAACAATGAGGTGAGGTAGGCAAGTGGAGAAAGCCTTTTTTCTTCCTTGAACAGAAGGAATTCTCAGAACAGCAGAGAAGATCTTCACATACGTAATAACAATGAAGATGAAACATCCACATCCTAATGTAATACTGAACATTAGAACTCCAGTTTCAGTTAGATATGAACCAGAGCAAGCAATCTTAAGTAAATGTGGGATTTCACAGTAGAACTGATTGACAATATTAGAGCAAAAAGGAGTTGTAAATGTTCCAATAGTTTGTAATGCAGCATCAAGAAAACTAGCAATCCACACACTGTCAACCATTCTGGTGCAGGCTTTCCTGTTCATTATCATTTCATATTGCAAAGGATTGCAAATGGCAACAAACCGATCATAGGCCATGACAGTCAGGAGGGCAACATCAGAGGTCAGGAAGAAAACAGACAAGAGGACTTGAGCAACACACCCTGAATAAGAAATATGCCTTATTTTCATAAGGCAGTTAAAAACAGCTTTGGGGATAATAACTGAAACTGAGCCAATGTCCTGCATTGCTAAGTTCATCACAAAGAAGTACATGGGAATGTGCAGGTGGTGATCAAAAACAACAGCAATGATGATGAGAAGGTTCCCTGTTACTGTCATTAAATACAGTGTCAGTAATAAAGTTACGTACATAATCTGTAGTTCCCAAATCTTTGAGAATTCCCAGAGAAGAAACTCAGATGTATTATTATCCATTTTTAATCATGAAGCAAAAATAGGACAGCTAAATATTTTCTATTCTGTGAGTTTGGAAAGATATGAATAGCATCTGTTCAATGTTCAGTAAACTTTCATTAAATCTGTTGGGAAAGAAAAGTGAAACAGACTGATCTTTTTATCAAGACAGTTAGCTGTGTATTCCACAATATCAATGTTGCACTATGAAAGCTCTCAGCAATCCCTTTCTCTGCATCATTTCTGGCGAATTCTCCATCTTCATTAATTTTATTGGCCTCTCCATTTCAGTTGTTTGTCAAAAAGTTTCAGTGTAATATAATGCAATGCTTTTCTTCAAAAAACAGCAAAAAGAATTGTAGAGGTTAAAGAACGATAAGCAGAAAAAGAGAAATTGGGAAATTCATTTCTCTAGAGGATGATTATGTTTAAAGTTGCTATGGTTTGAAGATATTGGAATTCAGCCATCATGAGATATTTACACCCTCTAGGTTTATGTCACGGTGTGATCTCTAATAGCTCTAGAAGCATCCTTTATCTTTTCTTTTTGGGATTAGCCACATAAAATGCATTTGGCAAGTGCTGATGGAGCTCATGTTTTAGGATGTATTGTCCCCCCCCGGGAAAAAAAAACAGCACCATTAAAAGATGCTCTTTAACATTGTGGAAGTCTCCAAACAAGAATTAGGAAACCCTCCAAATGACGACTATTTCTTAGTGGTACCATTTGAAATATAGAAAGAAAATTCTGAAGACCTGCTTTGCATCAGAACCTACTTCAGCTGCTTATGAATGTTAAAAACAAAAACAAAAACAGAGACCCATATGAATAAGTCCTGATCTGATTCAGACCATCATCTGCATTAGTTGTTGAACCAATTTGATTCAAATTAAATAAGATCAAAACATCTGAATTGGTTCACATCAACTGATCTGAAACTAGGTTGAATGAAAACATGCTGCATCTTCTAATCAATAGACCTTAAGCTCAGTCTTTAAATTAATAGATCATGTCTGCTATGCTAATTAGATATACGGTGTGGGTAAAGGTAATGCTTAACATTTTATTTTTAGACTATAATAATGTCTGATGAAGTTCTACTTATCTTATTTTCATTTTATATCCAGAATAAAACTGCCTGAAAAATAATGATTATAAAAGGCCTTAATATTTCTAAGCTATTTGAACTAGAATTATCATTACAGGAGAAAAGGTAGGAAAGCCTAGGCTGGATATGTGCAGAGAAAAGGGTAGAAATAACTATAGTTCAAGGTAAAAGGGAATAACTCACCATCTTTGTTCATGCTGATTTCTTTATATTTTTTTCTTAATTTTTTTCTGTGCAGCCATTGCTTAGATTGAATGCTGTGCAGCCATGAATGAGATCTTTGCAATTTCTCTAGTCTTTTCCTGCAATATAATAAGAGTTGATCTCCACTGGCAGTATAATAAAGCTTTGGTGGGTTGGAGGTTTTCTATGCTCTATGGGAGAATGCCCAAGGGTCTGTATTAGTGAAGAATTCTGCAAGGGAAAAATGCTGATGTTCTGATTCTACAAACCTTATGTTGGAGGTGGGTGGTTAAGTATTATTACAGTTATTTAAAACACAAGAAGATGTTGTTGTGACATACACAGTATCATTATTTAATAGATGCTTACACAGAATATTACACAGATGCTCTTAGATGGTGATATGAGGCACCATTCTGAGTCTACTATGATATGAGCAATCCTTTGAGATTTATTAATCCTTTTCAGTTATATTTCTTTCATGATTCTAAAAAAGAAGTTCATAATGTATATTACATATTTTAGATAGGTGGGAGCTGCAATGGGCAGCTGATCAAGAAAAGTCATTGGCACCATTTCAATGAAGTTAGAAAAAGACTTATAGAACCACTTTCATGCTTCCTGTCTTCGATTAGCAGGTGTAAAAATGGTGCTTGGAACTTCTTGTGTCCCTCAGATGACACATTCCATTGAGTTCAGCATTTCTTACTCTTCAGACAATATACTGTAGGACTGCAGTGTTAATTACCTTTGGTAATACTAAAACAAATATGCAAAATGCTTGCAAGAATCAGCTGATGTTCTCAAACATCATACTGAGATGTGAGGGAGGAAATGATATGGTATGCTGCTATGGCCCCTGCCCTGTGGAACTTCATCCCCCCTGGAGATCATATTGGCACCAACTCTGCTGGTGGTTCACAGGACCCTGAAGACGTGGTTTTGCCAATGGGCATGGGGCATGAGAGGGTTTTGGAGCTAGTGCAGTAGCTGTACTGATTGCTTTGATGAATAGGATTATGGGCTGTGAGGGATATATATATATATATATATATTCAACCATGTCAATGTGATATAATTAATATTTCTCCATCCCTCTCTCTTTCTCTCTTTTTCAAACAATTTCTTCATCTTAAACTGGCACAGTTGAAGCTGGTATAATAATGTGCTATGATCTATTCTGGTTGTTTGGTTGCTTATGGGAATAGCTCTAGAGCGATGTATTTTAATTTTAAAAATTTAGCCCAACTTGAAATTACCATCTCTGCTAAGCTCCTTTCTTTAATTTAATAATTATAGAAACATCTTATTCATGTTGGAAATAGTCATATTCAATTATTCTGGTAAGTGTAGATGGAGGTAATTGTTTTTGTTTCATTAGTTTTAAGCCAGCATTTTAAAGTTCCTCAGTTAAATGTAGGATTTAAATTATGGCATTTCTTTAAAAGAATCCTTTGAATGGCCTTCTCATCTCTACATTATGATCCACAAAATTAGAACTATAAAGAATGGCTTCAAATCAGAGCCTTCAATTCTATTTGACAACTTAATTTGAATCAATCACTCTATCTGAATGATCAACCTTGGTTTAGAAAATGAATGAAAATGTTTTCAAAGAGTTCTTATTGAATATTGGCATAGCCCTATGTTCTAAATATATGTTAAAATTGAAAATGAGTGTATATTTAAAGAAATGATAGGAATTTCCAGCAGGTTACAGTGTACATAGAGAAAATTTTATTTGCCTCTTTTTAAAAATAAATTTTAAAAAAGCCACATACTTTTTTTTTCCCATCAATGGCTCTGAATCGACTTAAGACTTTACATTTTGGCATTCCTCAAATAAATCTTTTGGTGTCCTGCACTTCTCATTCTCCAAATTGGAGTTTATTTAACCTACTTTTGAAATTAAAAGCATTTGATTGACCGAAATGAATAATACCTAATATCATTCAATTCATAGAATTACTTACAGAGTTGATTAACTGAATCAGATTGAATCATCCAAATATGGTCAGAATTTTGATCCACTACAGATTACTAAGGTATGCATGAGCAAAAGGATTTGGAATGATAACTTCTGTTTAACAACTTAAATTTCATTAATAAATCAAATTGGAAGTTAATAAGACTTTGAGTTTAAATGAATTTGCATTTCAAGACAATCTCCAAAATGAACATTTAACTATATATTAAAATTGAAAATGAGCGTATATTTAAAGAAATGATTGGAAAATGTCCTGTAAGTAGTTTAAAAGAAGATATGGCAAATCTGTAAATTGACAGAGATTAACCTCAGCCTTTAACTTCAGAGAATTACATTTACCAAGTTAGTGCAATTTTTTACCTAAATAAATCAGCAATCTCTTCTTCAGTAACTGGAAATTACCTCTGTGGAGAGTAATATTTATGTTTGGTGGTAGATCATATTCATGTGTTACTAACTTTTAGTGCTGCTTGTTTTCATCTCTTCCTAAAAACACTGCCTGAACAATAATGATTAAATGAATAATGGCTGACATTATGATCAGTGCTGCTTGTTTTCATCTCTTCCTAAAAACACTGCCTGAACAATAATGATTAAATGAATAATGGCTGACATTATGATCAGTGCTGCTTGTTTTCATCTCTTCCTAAAAACACTGCCTGAACAATAATGATTAAATGAATAATGGCTGACATTATGATCTGTTTGTTTTAACTGGAACTGTAATTGCTGGAAAAGGGAAGGAAAGCCTAGGATCAAAAATGAAAAGATGAAAAGAAGAAATAACTTATTCAATATAAAATTACTCACCATCTTTATTCATGCAAATTTCTTTATTATTTCCATTGTGTTTGTGCCTCTGTCAGTGAGATTTTATCCTCTGCATCCATTAGGGACTTTTTATTTAATTCTTCTTGTGATTTTCCCCAAAGTTATTTACAAGTCAGTCTCCATTGGCAGCACAGAACAGCCATTGTGGATTGGAGGTTTTTCTGAACCCCGTAGGACCATATTATTTTACTGGAAGAGTTCTATAGAGAAAAAGACTGATCTTCTGATTTGGAGACTCAATAATGGGAGAGAGTATATTGTTGGGCACTAAATTTGGCTGTGGTTTTAACATAATGGAGATGTCAAATTTCTCTGTTTTGTTTTTTATTATAAATTTTAAAATGCCATGTTTCAATGCATGTTGTCCTATTTTATATAGTACTGGAATGTTCAATGTCATTATTATTATTTAAAACTCAGGAGGATGCTGTTGGTACTTGTGCAGAATAATATACTCATCAGCAAATAAAACCCTAAAGTGGACAAAGGACAAGTATATTTTAAAAATGACAGAGGACAGCTATACTCCATAGTAATTGCCCATATACAATCTACAACTATTCCTGATTATCCATACATAATCTACAACTATTCCTGTAAGGAATACCCCTACAAATATATATATAAATTCCCCTCTCACCCCGATGGGTGGTATGTGTCTTCCTCAATCTCAGGTCCTCTACCAGAGGCCTGGGAGTTTGAGAGTTCTGCACAGTATCTTAGCTGTTCCTAGCACTGCACTGTTCTGGACAGAGAGGCTGATGTTGTTTCTGGGATCTGTTGGAGCCATTCTCCCAGCTTAGGAGCCACAGCCCCAAGTGCTCCTACAACCACCGGGACCACTTTGGCCTTTACTTTCCACATCCTCTCTATTTCCTCCTTCAGGCCCTGGTACTTCTCTAGCTTCTCAT